GGATCAGGGGGTTGGGGCGCCGCCCTCTATCACCCACAGAGCAGGGCCGATCAGGGCCCATGGAGGCGCCACCACTGTCACACTCAGGGCAGGGCCGATGGGGAGGTTATGGCTCTACCCCGTCACACACAGAGCAAGGCCCGTGGCGGGGGGAAGGGGGGGGGTTGGGGCGCCGCACCCTGTCACACACAGAGCAGGGCCTATCAGGGGGTTGGGGCGCCTTCCCCTGTCACGAACAGAGCAGGCCGGATAGGGAGGTTGTGGCCCCGCCCCCTGTCACACACAGAGCCGCAGGGCGATCAGGGGTTTGGGCGCTGCCCCCTGTCACACTGATCCGGTGCCAGGAGGCCTGGTGGCTCTGCTGATCCCGGTGCTGGGAGGCATATTACCCTTTTACTATATAAGATAGAGGCCTGGGGGCCGGCTGGTTTGCCCTGAAGGGTTTCCTGGATCAGGGTGGGGGTCCCCACTGGGGTGCCTGGCCAGTCTGGGTGAGGGGCTGAGGGCTGCTTTCAGGCTGACTGAAGCTCCCAACTGCTCCTTTTTTTCTCTTTTTTTATTTTATTCTGGGCCAGCTTTAGCTCTGGCTCTAGCTCTGAGGCTTCGTATCTGGTTTGTTTGCCGTTCTATAATCGAAACAATGTATAACTTCAGCTCTGAGATCCCGGCTGGCTGAAAGCTGGTTTCAGCTTCTTATTTGCAACATAGTACATAGTTGCTTAGAGTTGCAGCTCAGAGGCCGGCAAGTCAGGTGGGGAACATTGGAGTCTGCAGTCCCTGGAGCAAGCAAGCCTCATGTTCGCTTCCAGCTGCCTGGCTGCCGGCCGCCATCTTGGCTGACAGTTAATTTGCATAAGGATATGCTGATTAGCCAATGGGAAGGGTAGCGGTCATACGCTAATTACCATGTTTCTCTTTTATTAGTCTAGATATAGATAGATAGATAGATAGATAGATAGATAGATAGATAGATTAAACTTTTAAAAGAACCATTTTTACTGTCACTGATTTTCTCTCTTTTTCTGTCCTCTATTCTGTTCTATTATCCTTGGTGATTGTTCTTCCCCTGGTGATTGTTCTTTGTTTAACCCTGTGGAGTTCTACCCTTTGTGTGTTTATTTAGTATTTAGACCAAAGACTTGGTATTTAGACAAAGATTCAAGAAGACCTCAATGTAGAATTCAAGATTTTTTTTTTTTTTGGCAAAATGCCCTCCAGCCGCTTCTACCTCCCCAAACTACAACTTCTGTCTCCTTAGCTCAGCAAAACTATTGTTATTTTAAAGTCCTCATCCCGTCCCAGGGTCTGGCAGATGCCTCTGTGTGCAAGCCTGAAGTCATCATGAGACTTATCTCCTGTAATTCCATACTCTCCAAGGTCACATGTTTGCACTGTTTGTTATTCAATATCTTATTTTATATAGTTAGACTAGCTTTCTCGTTTTTTAGTAGAAAAACTGTTACCTGTTATTCTGTGAAGGCTGTGAGCAGATTCTCTCCTCTGCAGGTCTGAAATCCTGCTGGACAAGTTGTCAGGGCCCCTCTCCTGGGGCTGGGACATGTTTCTAGTTAGGGCTTGGTGTGCCCTCTAGTTCTGTTCTCTGAGACTTCCTTCCTTTTCTGCAAGAAATGGCTCCTATTTCTAGTTGAGTTATTTTTTAGCCTACTTCCCGCCCATAAAAAAGAAAGTTGGGAATCCAAAGTTTCCTTTCATTTTGAACTGGTACTATTTTTTTTTTCCCCGTTACCACAAATTCTTTTAAAACCTTGGTTTTTATCATCTGGATTATAATCCACTAGTTGAGACAAAGTCACACCCATGCATCTCTATGCAGGCCCTTCGATATTCTGTCTATGAGTCAGGCTGCTATAGAATAATCTTAGGATTCTTCTAAATACTTTCGTGTTGCTGAGAGAATCTGTGAGGTGCTGCTTTAATTCTTCTAGTTTTAACAAGGGATTTTGTAGCCACACCCATCATAAAGGTAAACAGAAATCTTTACCTTCAGTTCTGTCTTACTGGCATCTTTGCTTTATGCCCATTTCTTACTTTGAGAATCTTTTATCAGCTAGAGATACTTGGGGCCACTATAGTTTCTCTAAATTTTTCTTCAAAGATGAACGGTTCCTTCTTTAGCCTCATCAGGAACATTTATTATGTTCTGAATTATGCAGACGATAGTCTTGCTAATTTTTCTACCACTGCTTAGTAAGCATTTACTTTTTCTAGCCTCTAATAACAGTTTTTTTCATTTTGCTTCCAGCTCTTACTAATAGGCTCCTTAT